ATCGTATTTCTCTATGTTTGCTTGTTAAATTACTTTTAATATTTTCATATTTGCATTTTAGTTAGTAATTGTTATTTAGAACTATAAGAGAAAACTAAAACATTTATAGACTTAGCGTCTAAAGTGCTTTGCATTCTTAATGTCCTAATCAATTTTCTTGTGGATTCGATTCTTATGTATTACACTGATTACCATGCACTTATGGTTATTTAGGGTTAAAACTTAGTACTACTTTTATTCTTATTAGACACTACTAAAAAAAAAATCCTTAGCACAAAAAACGCTCTGACATCATATGCGATAATAGGTTTGCCACTTTCGATACTATTGTGTTTTCATCAAATGTAGCGATTTTTCTATACAATTATATATATTTTACAATAGTAATTGTACTTTGTTATTAATTTTTTTATTTTATTTTATTTTAGCAATTTTTTTGTTATTAGTTGTTTTATATACATTAATAGTTTGTAATACATACTAATAAACTAATATGTTATTAGAACTTATTGACGACATTATTGCGTCCTAGAGGAAACTTTCTTTTGTTTTTATTGGCTCTCAATGATATATATAAGGGTGTTCAATATGGATTTTGATTGGGTTGTGGTACAATCTTTAGGTTTCTCGGTTTATCAAAAATAGTTTCCATATTGAATCTATAGTTACTTTGGTTTTGTTAAGTTTGGATACTCCCAGTTTCTAATTTTTTCGGTTTCAATTTCCTTCGATTTGAACCAAAATAAACCATACTAAATTTGACTTTATAGGTAAAACATACACAAGCAACACCAAAACATATATCAGACAGATAAAAAAACAGAGAAAAATAAAAGTATTAATTTAACTAATTTTGGTTAATTAAATTTTTAACTGACTGTTATTTATTGTCAACTAATATACTAACTGATAGTACAATGTATACATAAGTAAGATATTATTATACGTATAGATACGTGATTATGTAATGTTATTACTATTTTGTTACATTAAGAATAAGATAATCGGTTTTTTGGTTTAATTAATTTTCTCAGTTAAAAGCCGAACCATATTTAAATCCTGTAAATTTCATAAAATAGTATCCACTCGGTTTATAATATATATCCAAAACTCATCCATATTACTTTATTTTGGTTTGGTTCGGTTTATCTATTTTGAAAACGTCTAATAATATATTTTTTGTTCATTAATAGCCTTTTAGCAGAGTAACATCTGAATTTTGATGTTTTTACCAAATTTGCGAAATTTTTGCGAAGTTTGTTTTGAATAATGCGCTTTTACCAAACTATGCGAAGAACACATAGTTTTAAATATAATTTATTGGATCTATATTGGAAATTTCTGCTAGTTTTTATTTTATTACTTAACTGGAAAATTTACTTAATGACCTTTAGCATCAGTCACAGCTCAAACAGATATAACATTCCCATATGAAAATATAACTTTACGTTTTTATTTGTCACAAACTACGCGATAGTGTTTTTGTTGAAGGTGGATGATTTATAAGAAAAAATATTATATAGGAAAGTAAGATTAGTGAGATAATTTGCTTTGATACGATATCATTTGTGTAGATGTCGATAAAAATTAGATAACACGAAAAGTAGCCAAGTGGAACATCAAGTCAAGAAGTATGATGTTGAATCCTACCTATACCCACGCGACAATCACGTTAAGATAAAACGCAATACAACTCTATTCTTATTTTATTTTTTGATATTTATATCGTAAAAAAAATTACACAATAAATTAAAAGATA